CTTAGTTCATTCCCTTCTGTCAAGTGTGTTTCTTGGCAGCTCTTTTCCATAGCTTCAGGCCAAGCTCACCATCTCAGAGTCTTCTCAGAATCATGAAACATTTTGTTTGGAACCACCTCTTTTCCCTCATTTCATCACCAGGCTATTCTCCACAGTTAGCTTTGCTGTTTTACTCCAGATATCTCCACTAGTCAAAGAAGCTATTTGCTTTTGCGCAAACTGTCCTCCCCTCATCCTCTCTTTTTAAAATGGAATGTCTCTCCTCCACTGGCTACTTCTGCTAGCTTCAAAGACCATTGGCAGCATATTTGCCAAGCACAAGCCATAGGAGTTAGTTTCTTCTTCTGACAGCCTTAAATGCCTTAATTTAATTGCGTCAAATGGTGCAGACACACTTAAGAGAGGACAAATTGACCATCAACAATAAGGTTTTTTTACAAATACTCTACTTGAGGAGCTCAGCTGTCTCTGCCACTCTCTTACACTGAGACACACACAGATGCACACATGCACACAAGAGGAGAGACCAAATGGATCATCTCTGAGCCACCTCTACGTCTCAAAAGATGTCAGGTTTACGATTAAGCAGTAAATAACACTAAACGTGATTCTGATACAACACATGACCATGCCCAAAGCCATAGAATGATAAAAGTTCTGACAGAATTGCAGCTACATAACATTGCACCTACGTACTACGACTGGAATGGGTTTTGCACCTTAACAACCTCAAAGATCTCAATTTTCTGAAGCAAAGATCCACCTTTCCTATCATAAGCATTTTAACTTTAGAAGCCCCATCAGGCAGCTTAGCATATGATTTGCCTTGTGACTATCCTGCATTGTAGCTTTTCTAAGAAAACAAATAACTATACATTTTTGCATTACTAAAACTAGACCTTGCGAAATGAAGACAACTGCTGATAAAAATTCACAGTGTGCTTTGATAAAAAGGAAGTCTTGTCGTAACTTTCAGAGCCATGCGGAAGCTGCAGTAACAACTTTGAACCACATCTCAGTAGTAGCTTTGACGTATAACTTTCAAGTTGGCCTTTCTTTGAGGTGGAGGTTGCACCAGATAGATAGCCTTCAGAGGTGCTTTCCTGCCTGAATCTTTCTATAGGCATGCAGTAGGAGAGATGAGGAGCCACATCTTTGATGAAAGCTTCTCACATCGGCTTTTCAAACATCCTTGCATCTTATCTTTGATGAGATACTTGTAGGAGGAAGATCACATCACTGAGGTCTGTTTTTTGACCCCAAGCCAAATACCCCAACTTATTGCTAGTAAGTGACATATTAACAAATCTATATCTGAAAGAATGAAAATATATTGCTATTCGGTGTAAACAGAAGGAACCACATCAGCTGCAATGATCCTTCTCTGCAGCTGCTTCTCCTTTTTTGGTTGTGTGGAAAGAAATAGGGGAGCACTCCCCAGGGAACATCTCATATCTAATGGCAGTGATTTGGCAGCGAGAGCCTGCTTTAATTAACTGCGGGGTTGTTCAGTGCGTGCCACAGGGAGAAGAACATCCTCCTATTTCAAGCCCTCTGAGGAATTCTGCAGGTAGGGGCAACTTAGGACCTGCCTATGGCTGGGCCTTAATGAAACACCGTTTGGAAGGGAAATAGAAGACCAGGTTGCCTTATAGATTAACAACTCATCAGAGATTTCAAGCAATGCAGATTCAAAAGCCTAGTAGAGGCAGAAAAGAGGTTTGCACCTGACCTTTCCAAATCCCAAAGAGTCTCCCTGGCTATGGAGATACATTGGCCTTTCTTCCTTACTCTGAAATTCCTTTCCACCAAAACTGGTAGGCATGTGTAGGCTGTTCTTATTCATCACATATGAAAGCAGCACAATAGAAACCATTGCAAAGAACACCAGAAGACTGCATTCAAACTATGCTTTTAGAAAGAAGAAATTTATATCCAGAACTCTAAAAAAATCACCTATAAAGTTAAGCCACTAGCATTTAAGGCCAGGAAGCTTTTAGCCACGAAGAACCCATTCTATGTGCACCCCTGTTCATCAAGTATCTGTTATTAAAGCAGCACCTAAAATACCAAAAGAGGGGGTTCCAAACTAGGATATTCCATCAGGAAATATTTCAGTGAGAGACGTGAATCGGCTGCTGCCAATATGTTCTGATTTAAGCATAGTTCCATAGGAATGTTTATCTTCCTTTAAATTTAATGTAAATTTAAGTCTACCCTCCCAAACCGATTGCTGATTTGCAGCATGTCGACGATACATGGAGAGGCTGCAGTAATGTTGGTCATAAAAGTCAAAACCGAGAGTCCCCTCCATGCTCTGGAAACAGCACCGCGACCCGTGGGTCTTACACAACCCTGGAGTTTCTCATTCATCACGGACGAAGCGATTGGCATTCCCAGGGTGACTCAGAGCCAAGACCAAATAAAAACATCAATGTGGCAATCTTTTTTAGCGACCGTCACTGCGGCGCTCATTGGCAGCGCGGCAAGTGACAGCTCTGCGGTGCCTGCCACAAACGTTCAGGTTGGCAAAGGAGTTCCAGCAGGGTTGAGATGCCTGACAGGAAACGAGGCAAACACAGCCAGCAACAGAACTGCTGGTGACCGTGAATCACAGCGTTCAAAGAGCCCGGTGCTGCTCCAGCACCCCTTATCAGCACGATTCCCTCGGAACTTTTACCGTTCTACGTTCTCAGGCGTGGTCACGCGTCGTATCAGAATCACGTTTAGGGATGTTGACCGCCTAATCGTAAACGTGATGTCTTTTGAGACGCGTGCAAAGCTTTGCAAAGCCCCGTG